ATATAATAACGTAGAATTAAAACGTATTAACCAAAATAATTGGTATATTTGCGATTGTAATTTATATTTTCTTCATTTTTAGTTCGAAAGATCCCATAGAAATTAACGATTAAAACTGGTTTCCTATCAATAAGTCATAAGATTGCATTTCAGCCATATACAATAATTAAAGGCAGAAATCATTTGCTTAACATTTAAGACTTAAGGAATGTTGAAGAATATCATAAAATAATAATTTATTGTTTATTTAAAACCTTTTCTGATGTCTATTATTTCCAATCTGTTATTATTACAAAAACAAAGGTTTTTTTCTTCATATTATACAGCTGTCTATTTATTTTTTTGATTTAATTTCGATTTTGCTACTGAAAATTTATATAATTTACAGTTTTTTGCTAGTAAAATTTGCAACATAGTAACTCCGGTTGCTCATTTTATTGTTTTTAACCTATTTTTTAGTAAAAAGTAAAATGTATACGTGTATTTGATACGCCAAAATTACAAAATATCGCCCTAAAGTACTCGAATTATCCGCAGCTTGCGTTAGTATCGCTTTTGCTTTCCGTATCATGACTTCGCACTGACCGAATAGATCGCAGCCATGTTTTAACATGCCTTAGCGTGCTAAACGTTCTTTCGATTAACTCTGTCGTTGGTGGAAGAGCCATAAATAATTTTTAAACCACTTTTTATGTCTGGATAAAATTCACAATATTTGGATGCTATATCATTAATGAAAAGCTCATTGTGTGTAGAAAGCTCTTTCGTACTCCAGTTTTGTATTCAACTTCAAAATTGTCGATTCCAAATTTTTCCACTACTTTCATTTTCTAATCGGTAATGAAAAAAGTATTGTTTTTATGTTTTTGGGATGTAGCAGGCTTAAGGAAAATTATCAGTCTTCGGAAAAGCGTGATGTAAGTGACGAAATAAGGGATTCCAAATATCGTCGGCCTAAGATGCAAATGGCCTGACTGCACTTTTTACCAAAGATACGTTTTATTGGCTACCCGTTAGTTAAAGATCTGTACTGTCGATTCGAAATGGCCTGTCAAGCCTATTTTAAATATTCGCACCAAAAATTACATGACTCATTTAGTATAACCTCTTTACATTAAGGTTAGGTCTAAAAGATTTTTGCATTTCCTGAAAAATTTATATTTTAGGAGTTAGGCCATTTGCATCTTAGACCGACGATATTCAATAAATATATTCAACCTATAATATTCTTCAACTATATTAGCCTTAATGTTATTATTTCTATATGATATTGTTGTTCGTATGCATAATTTTACGCGTTGTTGATTAAGTCGCTAAAAGCCAGGGGGGACAACTGCCCCCCCTTGCCCCCCCCCAAACGACGCCCATGCCTAGTGTTAGCATCTATTTAATCACGTCGATTTTAGTTGACATTATCACTGGATCCTAGATTCTACCACATACAATGCTGCGTTTTATTCACATCACTGATTAAACTATTCCACCTACCACTTTGACTACAGTTACTAAAATCAGGGTGGGTATACAGAATTGATTTTCATCACTTTGGAGAATAGGGAGATGTGTCAGCCCGCTTTGCTACGGATATAATCGAGGAAAAAACGTTAATTTTGAGATTACTAACTCAACACAGAAAATACTATTATCATGTTGTTAAATTAGATAATATCAACTGAGCAGTCTATGTCATTTAAGGGTATTGAACTGTTCGGAAGAGACTTGGTTTGCTCGGAAAAGACTTGTACGTGGAATTATCGTTAGCAACATGTGGTCATTTTATTTCTTATAATCGATTATCTTTTACTTTATTACAATACAAGTTTTTTTATGTTTATCCCTTAGATTAAAGAGACCGAAGATGTAACATTGCACACTGCGCATGTTGTCTATTTTAAGCCAAAGTAACCCACCAATTGAAAATCATTGTTGCATGACGCCACCCGAATTGCTCCGATTTCCATTCAGCGATCACCTCCACCTGAGTTTAATCACCATTGACAGCTGTTTTTTCATTTATTTGTTGGTATTTTAGCAATTTAAAGTGTTCTAGTTATTCAATTTCAAGTTCAAAATGTCACGATGTATCTTGAAAAATTGTATGTACTTATAATACAAGTACTACTGTTATGAATATATTCTTTTTCAGCGGTAAATATTTATTAACGTTTTGACATAAAGCGCCATGATTCTCTGGGCTGAATACTTCAGATCCGCATTAAGGGGTTTCAATAAATATTAAGCATCAGAAATCAGATTTCATATTACTTATATAAATTTACAAAAGGGTAAAATTTTGAACATTTAATTTAAATAAATAGTAAATAGGCATTATTGCTATCGAAATTTTGTATTTAAAAAGTAGTTTTATAAGAATGTTTTCTAAAGGTAGTTTTTAGCCCTTTTTGGTAGATAAATAAGAGGTAAAGAATCATAGCTACTAGCTAAATTTTATTTTTATAAGGTATTTTTATAAGAATATTAGATGAAATACAGGATGACCTACTTAAAATTTCAAGGTTCATCTTATTTGCGGTCAAATCGAAAGTGACATTGAATTTTCAGTCTTAAAACAAAGTAATCTAGTATAAGCAAAAAAAAATACTAAAGTTACAGGAGTTAGGTCCGATTCCACCGTTGTGTTAAACGGAGATTAAAATGACAGTGTTAATGTAAAAATGTCATTTTAAACTTCGTTTAACACAACGGTGGAATCGACCCTTAGTCACGTTAATAAAATGATACATTACAAACCCCTAAACAACTCGAACATAATTTTCGTTTACTAAAAAAAATCCAAAATTTAGCAATATTTATTTATTATACAATCGAATGCGATTTCAAAGATAACTGGATCAAAAAATCCGAATCTCTAAATTTTGGAGCTAAATGCTCAGATAAAAGCAAGCGACCGATAGGATTTATCGATAATTCTGATATTTTTTAATGAAAATTGATTTATCCGCTGTTTTTAATAAATTATTTTCGTTTTTTTTTAAGATAATGTATTAATCGATTTTAAAGGAAATACAAAAAAAGTAGATTTATTCAAAATAATCGATTTATCGTTTAATCGGTTTTTTAATTATTTGATTATTTTCGATTTTTCAAAGATATTATATAAAAATAATCGATTGAATATAATCGGTTATTTTACATAATCGATATTTTGGTTATTTTTTTAAAAATATCGATTTATTGGATAACCAGCTTTTTAATAATCAATTATTTTCGATAATCGAATAATCAATTTCAAAGGAAATATGAAAAAAGGATTATTAGAAAATAATAGATAATTCGTTTTATTTTTTGGAAAATCGATTTATCATAGAATCGGCTTCTTAATTAATTGGTTATTTTCGATTAGGCGATTATTTTGGCATTATTGATTATTTTTGGTATTTTAAAGATAATCGAATTATCGATTTTAAAGGAAATACAATAAAAATAGATTGATAATAATCGATTGATCGAAAATAATCGATTATTTAAAATAATCGATCATTCTGTTTTTTTGAAAATCGATTTGTCAGTTAATCGACTTTTTAATTAATCGACTTTTTAATTAATCGATTATTTTTGAAATACAATAAAATAGATTATTGGTAATAATCGATTTATCATAGAATCGGCTTCTTAATTAATTGATTATTTTCGATTAGGCGATTATTTTGGAATTATCGATTATTTTCGGTATTTCAAAGATAATCGAATTAACGATTTTAAAGGAAATACAATAAAAATAGATTATTGATAATAATCGATTGATCGAAAATAAACAATTATTTAAAATAATCGATCATTCTGTTTTTTTTAAATTGATTTATCAGTTAATCGACTTTTTAATTAATCGATTATTTTTGATTAATCGATTATTTTCGTTTTTTCAAAGATTATCGAATAATCTGTTTCCATGGACGAAAAAAAATGGTTTATTTGAAAATAATCGATTATTTAAAATAAACGATAATTCTATTTATATTATATTTTGTAAACACTGATTTATCGGTTAATTGGCTTTTTAATTAATCGATTATTTTTGATTTTTCAAAGATAATCAAGTAGTCGATTTTAAAGGAAATGACAAAAAATATATTGTTTGAAAATAATCGATTGATCGAAAATAATTGATTATTTTCAATGATCGATAATTTATTTTGATAATCACTCATCCCTAGCGACCAAATGACTTTTAATAGATTTAAATGTTAAAATGTTATCTGGTTTCAGATATATGCATTTCTAGAGTTTTATGTGACTCATCCTTTATAATAATTAATATTCTTAAAGAAAGAAGCCTTAATATACTTTTTTCTGAGGTTACAATACAAAACAGCATTTTCTCATTTTGACTAATTTTTAATAATATGTAATAGCCGTAGAAAAAATATAATGTTCAACTCATAAGGGTAGATTTGCAGTATTAGCCTGCGCACATGCTATTTTCATAATACTCGTAGACAATGAGTAACATTTTTTGCTCTATTAACAATATATTCTATTTCAACATTTTACTGTAATTTCTTGCAGAAAAGTCCGTAGTAAATAAACGCTAACGAAATATTCTATAAAAGGTCTTCTCTTTACATAAAATGTCGTGGCATCTGTTTGATATTAAAAATCATGTTAATTTTATTTCATAATACAAAATTCGATTAAACACCTTTTAAATAAACCTAATAGTTCATTAAGATGCTAATAAACAAAGTCCGGTCCCTGTCACAGAGTTCGGGTCGCCGCGTGTCGCCGCCCAGTTCCCCCACTCCGTTAACCCTTCTTTAGAAATTGGCAACATTTGCGCAGGTTTAAAACCGGTGTATGTTATATCTCTGGTCTCTTTTATCTAAGGTTTATCCCTAATATGAAAATAGATTGTTTTATTGGAGTTATCACAGTAAATTAAACATATTCTTGATAACTAAAAATAATAAATTGATTATATGTAAAAATTATGTTTATCAAATATTTAAATACAGTTACAATCAAAAGTTCCTCCTTTGCAGATTATGGGCAGAGGTGTTTCACGTAGCCGCTGGAAGTGGCCAAGCAAAATGGCAGCAAGTGAGTGAAGATTTGGTACCGGTCAATATCACCTGCATTCAAGATTCTCCAGAGTGCGTATTCCACATTACTGCTTACAATTCCCAAGTAGACAAAATTCTGGATGTGCGGCTGGTGCAACCAGGTAAATTTTCCTTCATCTGCATATTTTTCAGATTGATTTTCTCTCTAAACCCTCGTAAGTATCCGGAGACGCTTAGGATTCCAAATATTTAATAATACGGAACCATAACAATAAAAATATATTAAACTAACTCAGAGCATAAATCCGATCATAAACAATGGACCACTACACCAATAAACCCCCGGAATAGGTGACAATAAAAATATTTAATCATGCGGTAGTAGGTATAGCTATTCAAATACCTGACGTTACCCATAAAGAACTCCCCAAAACTCTAAATCAATCACATAAATAATGCAGAGACAACTCCCTTCGAGATGGTTGTGTTGTAGATAGCTGACAACTCCAAATAGCGGGAAATTCTGGTCGCCAGTATTTATTCCCTTATTCGCCCGTTTTCTTACGGAAAAGGGTATTTCATTTTGTCGGTTTCCATATTGTCATAGGTATGGCGTTTTGCATAAGAAAGGGCTGCATTAGGGAGCAAAGATTTAATATATTCTACAGTAGCATTTCATTTTATTTGGTAGAATGTTTTATCCTATAGTACGATATATTAGGAAAAATAAATCACCCAAATAATGCTTGTAGTTAAAACAAGGTAAATAGAAAGATACGTGGAGGAGAGACCATTTAGTTAAATACTACATAACCGACTCATTAAAGAAAGCATACTACTATATTTCAGGCTAAAATACTTGTGTAAGAAAAAACCTAAGAAGGAAGTAAAAAAAAAATAAATTCTCTCCGCCAAGTACAGCCAAATCAAGCCAAAGCTGAAACTACCTTGAAATACTTGAATTATTTGATAACTCACAATAAGGTAAAATTAGTTTGGATACCCGGAGATGAAAATGCTAATAAGATCGACAAAGTGGGATCATAATTATCATTCAAAGGATAATCAAAACCTCTTTGGATAACTAGCAAGCGCCAAATTCACTGCTAACAGAATAAGAGAACATTTATAAGGAGTGCAATCTCCTTAGAAGTATCATTGCATAACTGCTGCTAATATATCTCGTATGGCCCGATATATATTATTAACGGGACACTTTTTGCTAAAATTTATTTATATGATAAGACATACATTGATCCCACCACGTGTGTAATCTACATGAAAGGGTAAGAAATATCTCCATACCACGTTAACCTTAAATACTACGTAATCGCCCCAGTAACACTTGATAGAGAACCTAGTGAACCTAACCAAAGTTACATGATTATTTAGACAGTACCAAAATATGTGAATACAATAGACCCAAGAGACCATGGTGATCTGGGCTACATCTAACCCAATCTTTAAAACTTTAGAGCTAGGCTGCAAAAACAATAGAGCCCAGAATATATTTTATTTGCAACAGGTTAAATCGTACGACGTTTTCTTACAATCAAAATGTAGCCGTCTCATGGCACGACAAGCTGGTTTGGTTGAAAGTTTCTTTCACGACTTCTAAACATATTGTTAACAATAACTTACTATTAAAGAGCAACCTGGAACTCGATAAAGTTGTTCAATTACTTAAAACAATTTTTTTTATCTCGTTTATTATTTAAAAATTTGATTAGCAGCTTTAATTCTTGCATTTTATTTTTATATAGTCTTTCAGTGTTTATAGATTTTAAAGTCAAAATACCAGCTTCATAACCTCAAAGCAACAGAGTTAAATAAATTATGCTCTAGTCTTTATAGACTTTAAAAACAAAATACCAGCTTCATAAAGTTAAATACATTATCCCCTTTATATTTATAGGGTCTGGTAAATTGAAATGTTTATAAATTTCATTGATTTTCTGATAAATAGTATTTAAGTACTTATAAAATACATTAATCTTCCTTTTCAGGAACTCGAATAGGACAAGCCTCGGACTGTTTCGTATATTGGAAGGATCCCATGACAAATGACACATGGGGTCTAAACTTTACTTCTCCCATCGATGCCAAGCAGTTTAGGGAATGTTGTGTAAGTATTAATTATTATTAAATAAAAAGAAAAATATATTTAAATCTGTTTATTTTATTATTAATATTAGTCTGGAGAATTTTTTTCATCGAATAAATGACAAAAAAATGTAAAATTACGTCAGTCTTACATTGACACCATTCCAGTATTTTTCCCCCATGTGAACGGGTGTTTTTTTTTTTTTTTTTTGAACTTAGGCCTTCATATCTATCTTTATATGTGATCGATAAAGACTGAATTCTCTTCACCTGTTTGCAACTGATCCATACACGTGGATAAATCGTGTCGAACAATATATTCAGAAATTTCTAGTTACAAAATTCTTTAATTATGAAATTCTATTATTTCGCTATCAAATAAAATGAATTATCTAAGCGATTACATCACATTTTGAAATCAAAACTCAATTTCAAGCACCAATTTCATAAACTACCCAATCTATATACCGCAAAGGTAAATTGTAAATGGCCGATCTCTGTTCGACTTCATCAAGTATGTGATCTAATTAATTTAGGAATCTCTCGATAGAAACTAGTTTGCTAACTTTTATTGACTCCCATCTAAATCGATTTGAGTTTAGTGTCGTCGCATATCCATCACCAGAAGTAAATAATGTGTGCTATGCTATGATTTTAGCGTAGGTGCGTGGATTATGTAAATGCAAGCCTAAATGTATACATAGGGGGATATAAAACAATTCGGAAAAGCACATTTAGGATAATATGATATACGTGAATGATGAGGATAAATCATTGAATAGGTACTATAAGTACTATTGGTCCTGTTTTTTTATTTTTTATAATAATTCATATTGTTTTATTTGTCTTCTTACAAATTTTTTCACAACAGAGTTGAATCATATCTTACTCCAATATCTTTTACTTCATTAATTCTATATTCTCCCACCATAATAAATTTAAAGTGTATTGCGTTTATTTTATGAGTAATGCATTATTATATTCGTACCCTTTGGAGTCATATGTAATTTCTAACAGTAGTAATTCGCTTGTAAATTTTAAGATCGTCTGCAAATAGGAAATATTTTGAATCTCTTAGCTCAGAAAAATATGTCAGGAGTTGACATAATCCTTATCTCTATCTGTAACGTATGAGGCTAAGACACTTAGACCTCATTTTGCGTATTGTGCGTCTTCCTAAATTAACAGGGATACTTTAAAAATGTTAGAAAATTAATCCTAAGCCTGAGTGTAAGTTCCAACTTGGTGATAAGCTTGTTTATTGTTGTCTAACATCTGGTTTTTAGTTATTTACAAGAAAACTTGAAATGGGAGAAGATATATATGCATGATAAGAATACGTATTTTCTAGTTACGTTCCGAATGAGACGGGTTGGGTGGCGAAATCTGCAATACTTTTTGAAAAAATTGCAAAACAATTTTTTCTTGATTTCTCCTACTTTTTTTTTAAATAACTCGAAAACTAATTATCTGAATAGAAAACTGTTTTCATCAGATAAAAGAGAAGAAAAAAGACACGAAAAAGTGTGGTATATATATTGTTTCTAGCATCCAGTGTTTTCTGAGCGCACGTGTGCAAAGATCGGTAATTCTCGCGAGACTCAAGAGGATGTTTTTACTTGTTTACGTAAGATGAATCTTATTACAAATAAAAACGAAGAGTTTCTTTCTATTTGCGATAGGCCTTTACAGATAATTGTGTTTGGTTGCAGAAACAACTTTAATTTATGTTCAGTTGATACTGTTTATATGGACGGTACATTTCAATATTCGATCAAATATTTTGTACAATTTTTTACAATTCACGGTTACAAAAATGGACACTATGTACCTTTAGTTTTTTGCTGATTGCCCTCAAAATCACAATCTGTGTATCTTAAATTATTTGAGTTATTGGATGCAAAATGTTAAACATTAAGTCTTTATTTTAAACCTTTTTTTGTTGTAATTGATTGATTCATAATGCAGTTAAACTCATGTGGCAAAACGTAAAAATAATAGGCTGTCGCTTTTATTTATCCCAAGCCTAGTATCGAAAAATTCAATATTTAGGATAAAGCAACAATATAACGGGTGTCCCAAAAGTTTTGGGAAAAAGTTTGTCTGTGCTTTGCGGAGTATTAAATTAAATTTATCTAGTTAGCCATGGTAATAAACGTATACTTACATTCAAAATTGTCTTCCGAAATTGGTAAATTTTATTAGAGAATATCATGTTTTGGCCAGACTTGGCGTCGGCTCATTATGCTAGAGCCCCATGCGAATGGTTAGAAGCTCAAAATGTGCCATTTGTGCCTAAGCAGGTCAACCCCCCGAACGTTTCCCAAGCAAGACCAATAGAGACATTTTGGGCAAGATTGTCAAGCAAAGTTTATGAAAATGGCTGGGAAGCTCAAAACGAGCAGCAGCTGAGGCGTAGACTATTCCAAAAAATTAGGAAATTTGATGTTGAAGAGTGCCAAACCCTAATGAGACGCGTCAGGACAAAACCGCGCCATATCAAAGAAAATGGACCCCTAGCAGTGCTGTAGTAGTTTTTATTTATTGTTAAGGAACCACTTTGTACGTAGTATTATGAGGGATAAATACATTTTTAAAATATTTTTTTTATATGTCTTTAATTTTTTTCCCAAAACTTTTGGTACACCCGTTATTATGCAATTTAGCTCTGTAAATAAGCTTTTAAACTTCAACCAGTTTGGTATTTCATTAAATAACTAATTATTTTATAATAGTTTTTTAATTTTCTTTCTATCAATTTGCATCTTATTGATTACCTAACAGGTTATATTTTCCTTCCAAACCTGATTATGGTAATCTTTAACCGAATTTTAATTAAATTCATTTTAATTGCAGAAAAATTTTGTTGTAATTTATGGCTCTTGTAAAGATGATAATGAATACACTTTGTAAATGTATCAATCTCTATAATTTGTTATGACACTTTTTATTATCTTTCAGGCTGCCTAATTTTATTCAATAACATAATATCGTGTTCAATTTATTTACTTCACATAACCAATGTCCAAAATATAAAATACTCCTAATTTTATTGAATCATAACGATTCTAAGCGTAACGTAGTTCCCCTAAAAATGCTTATTAAACGCAGTCTGATCTGTTGCAGTCGCCGTCTTTCAAGTTTAGCCGCAAGGCGTCGTCATCGTACAGTCTGAAGTTGGAACCGCCCAACAAGCAAAAACTGAAGACGGCCGGCGGAAAACGAAAACCTCTTAGCACGCCCGCATCGCCTAGCAGGCCGCCCGCTTCCGCCAGAGAACCACAGTGCACTTGCATGACTTCGGAACAGTACGCCAGGCTCAAGGCGCAGGATCCCAGATACAGGGGTAAGAGGACCTTTTATTAACAGCGTATTCGTTATAAAAATTTTAATTGAGACAAATACTTTTAATACGGGTTCTTGCAGTAAGAAATAAATTTTGTATACTGGACTTGATCCTGCTGACAGGACCTTTTAGGTTCTGAATCATCTACAATCAAGAGGCAAATCATCAAACAAAATTTGTATATCTAATTCCCTTTTATTATCCAATTTTCGCAATCTTTTTTAAATTTTCTCTAAATTCCTCAGAATTTTTTTTAGCAATTCTTCAGTTCATCAGCAATCTCTTAGCAATCCCTTAACAATTCTTTCAATTTCCTGACAATTGCATAACAACTCCTATAATTCCTCTGCAATTCACTGTCAACTCCCAACATTTGCCCTACCAACTCAACAAATCATTGAAAATTCGCAGCCAATTCGTCGGCAATTCCTTTAATTCCCTGGCAGTTCCCAGTTCCTAGAATTTACGTAACTATCGGAACATTTCGTGTCAATTCCAACAAATTCCCTCAATTTCTTAAATTTATTTAAACCCTCACATTCCTCGCAATGTACTACCACAGCTTATACAATACAGCTCCACAACTCCGTGTCGGCGTCTTTGATCTGGCGGTCGAGAACCAAGCAAGACGGAATGGTGCTATCTCTGTTAGATTCAAGGGAAAAGTCGGGCCCGGATTAAACAATTTTTTTATTATTGACAAAATTGAAAACCTTGGCGTAATAAGGTTGGTCACATGCCATATTAAGTAAGTTTTGGGAAATTACATTTTTAATTTGTTTTAAATCTTTCAAATATAATTAAAAAAATTATTTAAATATAAATATTACGAAAAATAGCACATCTTTCGGATTAGAGGTAAAATAATTTATATATGGCTAGTAAAATCCTCGTTAACAAATGTTTTGAGCTAAAACAGTCACTTCACGACAAATTGTGACTTGGATCCTTTTTACACCAAGGGCTTCAATTGTTAAAGAAATGTGTCACGCTCGTGGATGCAAATCAAGTGGTACCCCGTGTCTCTGGCAAGTGTTACTCTTCGCGCAAAGGGTTTATACCTAGATAAACGAATGCTTCGACTGAGGTCTGGGAACTCTATGGTATTTTGGAATTATAAAGAATTTGTGCTTTTATTTTAACAATATTGGTTATATTTAGATGTATTCTTATTAATTGAAATACAGATTTGTAGAAGTAATACTTTAACAGTTTTTATTAATATAACATATTCAATTTTTATCTGACCATACCGAAGTAGGGAATTTTGAAACTTTATAGTAATGTGAAATTTGAATTACAATATTACACGATATTACATAATTAGTACTTATTTTAGGTAGGTACTAAATTTGTACTTGGAGAAAGTAATATCGATTTTTACAAGAAAACTTGAAAAGTAAATTAATTTAGTTCTTATTTCTGATGTAAAACTTAAACCAAGAAAACAAATAAATTGTAGTTTGTTCAACAAGGGTGGATATGATAGCCATATCACACAAAGACGAAGTTTGAGCACGACGTCGTAGGCGGAGTACTCAATCGTCTGATTGTGATATGAACAATCCACTCGATATGGTCAGTATATTTTTTCTACGACCCACTAACGAAAATCTACAAATTTAAAAAATTATTTTAGGTTATTTAGACAAAATAACTAATTTTAAAATAATTTA